GCATTTCCAGTAGCATGACTTGACCAGGTCGTGTGTACCTTCAAGTCGGCGGACCTCACTCGCAGCTATTGCTTGGTGTTGGGTAAGTGGACGCATGTTGATTATATTTCCAGCCCTCATCGTCAGCTACACTTCTAGTCTTGTTATTCCTTGCACTGACTCTCAACTGATGCGCCCCTAATGCGAATGCGACACGGTTAGCACACTGTGTGGGTGAGGCGAAGGTGACGCGGTCTGGGCAACAAAACGAATAGAAGGTCAAAATGAAGCAACAAATCAAATATGCTGAATGCCTTAAGCCTAAAATCGCCGCCCTTTTCAGCTTCTGACCTTAGGAAGTGCCTTTAATCCCCCTGGACGAAGTTATGCAGTGGTGCTCTGACGATTGGACATGTCAGTTACGTTTAGTCACCCAATGGAGGACATTTAAAAGTTACAGTCCACCTTGTGACGCCTTCCAGAAACTAACACAGACAAGACGCTGGGTGAGGTTGTCTGTTTCCCTTGCAAACACCGCCGCCTAAAATATCATCACTGCCAAGTTTTGATTGGCTACTTATTGACCAGGCAACGACAAACTAAACTTAACCCAAGTTTCACTATATACTGCTTCCGAAAAGGAAAATTATCCTTTACTTCTTTCGTTTTATTCAACAAAAGTGGTGTGCACTGGCTAGCAACTAGTTTGAAAGTAGCTGTCGTTAGTTGGAATAAAGAGGATTTTGCATCTAAGCATGTTGAGATTCTTCTCTGTCATTTAGCCTAGTATTGGCATGAAGCGAAGTAGGATAAAAATCTCAAGGATTTAGACGACATATGGAGGTGTGCGTTATGGAGGCGAGAAAGCAGAATTTATTCCTCTTCAATTACTCTCTCCTCGCCCTCCTCTTCCCTTCGCTACACCCGCTTTGGTTGAGTCGCCGTCTTAAACCTGACCGCGGCTGCTTGTCCACTCTGAGCGTCTACTCAGCCCGTCTTGTTGTCAGCACTTTACACAGGTGACAGCAATCTTCTCAGCTCGCAGTCTTATTCCTCCGAATGGCCCGCCTACCCCCCGACCATGTGTTTGGCTGGGTTAAGAGGTCACGTTGATCTCTACGTGGCAACATCTCTTCTCTCTGAAGTCTTATACTGCGACGGACAACGCTTTTGGCAGTACGGTGGAGAAATGGAATGCAATTTGACCTCGAGGGCTCCATCCGCAGCTGAAATACACTCGGTCTGGTGAGCTGGACTTCTTCAAGAACGCGTATGAAGTGGGCAGTCATGGGAGGCTACTCTTCAAGGTGTACTTCAACGCAAAGCCTGAGGTGATAGCCATAAAGACGGACAAGAATGAGCAGATTGTTTGGCCTCAGAGTTTGGAGTTGGTAGGTGGATTCATACCACTCCGCATCCAGGCCACCATCACGTCAAACGATGTGGTGCCATCGAGCCGAGTTCGAGAAGATTCTGGCCATCCAGTCTTTGAAGGTGCAGCAGAGGTATTTGGCTATGACTAATAAATTGGATCTATATTATTGTTGAGACGGAGAACGGATCGACGAAGGTGAACTTGGAGCTGAAATTTGACCCTCATTTTGCACCGACAGAAGCTACTACATGCATCCTGATCTTCACGCTTTGTAAAAAAAAAAAGCTTCCCCGGTGCGAGTGTAGAGTACATGCACGGAGCGAGGGAATTTTTAATGTCCCCCCAACAGAAGGACTGAGAACGACCTCAACTTCACCTACGTGTTTCACTGACAGGTTATTGTTTACGACAATAATGACACCGCTGTGAACCATCTGGAGTGTTTTCGTTTCGGAGTTTCCCTTGCTGTCGGTAACATTGGGCTGAGCGAACTTACATACTGAACTCTAGTTGAGCCTTTGAAACCGGCTTTCCATGGACACATTCCGTGTGTCATAAGAAGCGTGCAACCCCGATTCCTGCATTTGGGTCGAACGTAATTCCCGATCCTGTCGCACGGAAGTTGCTGAGAAGGTCAAACGCATTCTCTGAGTCTCATGGTAGCTGATGACTGGCGAGGGTGTCTCGTGGGGGCTTCCTTACAGTGCTGGAAATGCTACGACAGCTGGCGCAAGAGGCGTACTAAGGCGAGTGTGTGCAGACGTCGTTTCAAAGGCTAAAAAACAGTGCAACACCTTGTCGATTCGACTGTCTGTGTGGACCGACCTGTGAGCCACGTAGAAGTTCATCCACTTCCCCTTCGTCCTGAATGCGAGCACTCAACTCTACCCAATGCTTTCTACCACCGCAGAATACGTTGCAGTCAGTACTGTAGTTCACTCCACTCCCAAATTTTTCTTCCTCCAGCATCTTCCGGAGGCCGTGAATTGTCCACGTGTGGTAGGTTGTACAGAAGGCGCCG